TTCCCCTGGAACAGGGTGGGGAGCAGCTGAGCTGCTTTGTGCCTCTGTTCTCTGTTGTGCAGGCTGGCTGTACCTTGCAGGGACCACTAGCTGCTTCCTCCTCAGTTTTTGGCCCCTCTGGTCGAAGGGACACCGTCTTTCTCCAGCCTGTGACACCAGAAAAGGTTGGCTTGAGCTGCCTTCCCTGTCTCTCCCTAGTGCACTCTTGTTAGGAAAAGGTCCTCTCTTGTCTAGCTCTGACTGTCGGATGGGAATCCCCGTGGTGTTGCAACACGCTCCTGGTTGTGCTCCCACATCGAGCTGCAAAGCAACCACTTTCCTTGAATAACAAACTTGTACTGGTCCCAGCAAGCAACCAGGCACCCTGTGGGGAGAGGGTGCTGCTCCAGCCTCCTGCACACTGGTGACACAGCTGTGGTGACACCTCCCATCCCAGCTGGCAGTAAATTGGCAGGAATGATGCTTATGATGAAGATGATGGTGTCGCAGTGGGGTGGGCACCGTTGGGGGCTGTAATGGTGTGAACACTGCTGTGTGCCAGCTGCTCTGTGCACGTTTTCTGTGGGATGCTGGGAGAAAATTTCCATGTGGAAAGCCTCTCAGTCTTTCTTTGTGTGGCCACTGATTCCTCCTGAGCCCAAGCCATTTCCTTCCTTGCCCAGTCCTTCTGTAATTAAAGTGTCTGGACCAGCAGTGGTTTTTTAGTGCTCTTAAAAATAATGGTGCTTCTAGTGTGGTCCAAATGGTCATAGACCCCTGTGTGATACCAAGCTTTAGGAAAATAACAGGGAGGGTCTTACAGGGGATATTTCAAAGCTGAAGTGCCTCGATGGAGATGGGACTTTTGGGAGGCTGCTGCAAAGAAAAAGCTGTGCTTTGTTGAAATGCAGAGCAGCTCTTAGGCTGGCTTTGCATGCAGCAGCCAGTCAGCCTGAAGGATTGATGCTGCCAGGGAAAGATCAGAGCAGAGTCTAAAAGGCTGTTTCCTCCCCATCTGGCAGCTCCTCAGCTGGGGGGCAGGAGCATGAGCTGGCAGCAGGAGCTCTCTCCTACCAATTTGTAAAACCTAGAGCTCCCATGTCCAGCAGGAAGGCAAATATCTCTACAACCCTCCCAGCCCTGCTGTGGGCAGCAGCTTCCCTCCTGGTGTTTGACAGCACCAAGGGGTGGAAGAAAGGCTGGACTGACAACCCTTGGCCAGAGCTCCATCTAAGCTGAGCTTGTTCTGGAGCCTCTCCCAGGCTTTCCTCCCTGACTGTGCAGAAACACCTGCTGGCACCCCTGTGGAGCTTGTCTGGAAAGGGAAAGGGGCTCAGGAGAATCCAGGCTGGGCTCTGTCTCTCCTGGTTAGTTTTGGCTGTCCCTGAGAGCTCTCCAGCAGCACCAGGACAGTTCCCCTGCTGCAGTGGTAAAAAGGGTTCAGGGTGCTGTCCCTGGGTGTCAGGTGGTGCTTGCAGGCAGGGCAGTGCTGGGATTTTTCACCACACGTGTATGGCCAGCACCCAGCCTGAGGGCAGCCTGAGCCCCTGCCCTGTGCTGCCCTGATCCCTCTGTCCCCAGAGGCTCTGGGACAGTGCCACCAAGGCCATGAGCACCGGGGCAGGCAGGGTTTGCCAGGGCTGCCAGCCTGGCACTGTGCATCAGCTGCTGTACACGCTGTTATTGCTGATGGCCAGGATGGGAAATGCAATTGAGACCTTAATGAAAAGCTAACAAAGTTGGGTTTGGAGGGAGGGCTGCTCTTCAGGTAGCCTTGCTTCCCCTTGCAGCATGTTGGAAATGATTTTTCTGGGAATATTCCTACACTATGCCACAGTGTGCCTTGCTTCCCCTTGCAGCATGTTGGAAATGATTTTTCTGGGAATATTCCTACACTATGCCACAGTGTGCTGACTGTGAGCTGAGACTGTAGGCAAATGCAGAGCAAGAGGGTCTCTGGGGACCAAGCTGTTTATTTTGGATTGTACAAATAAAGAAATGCTGATGATTTGATAGCAGGTGCTTCTCAGAGATATTTTGAGTGCCAGGCTCTGGTTGCATGTGTGTAACTAGCATGTTGTGGCCAAGCATTTTCTAGCCCTTCATAATTCCTGAGCCTCACTGTAATTGGTTTAAGTAGGAAAGCTGGTCATGATGTGTGAACCTCGCTTGATGACTACACCACAAAATGCTGGAGGAAGTACAGCAGAGTTGGGGGATGCTGCTGCTGCTGCCCAATGGATGCACATTGGCATGCTTGGTGGATGTCTCTTCCAAAGCTCCAGCCATTTCTTATCCCTCTCCAGAAAAGCTCCACATTTCTTACCTCCTGACATCTGAGGGAAAAATATTATTTGTACATGGAGTGCTGGTTGGGAATGCCAGAAATACAGATTGCTCAGATGCAAGCCTCTAGGCCTTTTTTCCTCCTGTTTAAAGTAGTATGGGACTTGATTTCAAACAAACAAACAAACAAAATAAACAAACCAGAACAAAACCCAGCTTACATTAGAATGTTTGAAAGGGGAAACACATGGTAAATAAAGTTTAAATTACTTATTAATTTGATTTCGTGGGTGTCTTTTTTTTCTGAATGAGACTTCCAGTATCCAAATCCTTTTAAGACTGGAGAGTTGGTCCAAAGTGTGATGGGACTCTCCTATTCTTCATGACCTAAATCAGTGACCCAAAGCATAATATTTTTTCTAGAACCATCTGTTTTCTCTTCTTGCCAAGGGGATTTCACAATGCCTGATTGCTCTGAATAATTGTACATGTGCAGGGATATGACTTGCCACAGGGAGAAAAATTAACTGAACAAGGACAGGTGGATGTTCTTGAGTTTTCAAGAAGAAACTACTACCCTTTAGAAGGAGAGGGTGAAGAACCATGCAACTGAGTAATATTTTATGCCTACCACGAATTTTTTTAAGCCTACATATTTAAAAAGGAAACAAAACTACACTTAGAAGCTATCTGAGATTAACAGAGTAGGTACCGAGTCAGCCTGTGTTTGACAGGCCCTTTATCAAATGTCTCCATGACTTGGTTTGGAGCAGTGTGAAACACAGGAGTACAGATGTTGGGTGACTAATTCATGCTTCAGCTAAATTTCAATGACCATGAATGCACATCTGTTTCAGCTTAGCCATCCACTGAAGGGTGTGCAACAAGGTGCTCCTCTTTGCAAACATCATGCTTGCATTTTTTTCACTTTGGGCTTGTAAGCAGTGGTCACAGCTCACATTTGGGAAAGCAGAAGATACCCAGGCACTACGATCAGGGGGGCAATGAGTCTGGTAGTAAGAGCTTTTTTGTGGCATTAGCAAGATTCCTAATGCAAACAACTTTATTTTAAATCTGGCTTCCTACAAGAGACTTGCTTTTTCTTGTTCAATTCATCTGTTCTTATCACCCAGCTTTCTGATTTGCTCACTTCCTCCACTATGTATCTTTTTATTTTCTTAATTGAGTGGGGGGTTGGAGGCAGACCAACAGTTCCTGGTGAGAAAATGCCATTTATATGAAACTGTCTTGATAAATTCTCAGTATTACCTTCCCAGACCAATAATAGTGCTACAGCATCAATAAATAAAAGCAAACGGAGGAGAGGGCTTTGATCCACCATTACAGTGTCTCTTTGTGGAGCAGATCCCATACTGTGGTGTGGGATGGTACTCCTTGATTCCTCCAGCCAGTTGTTCCCTTGCACACAGCTCTGTCCCTGCATGATGTGCCCCTGCCCTAACGAGGAGTTAAAACCTTTCATGGCTGAGCTTTGTTGGTTTTTTCTTTCAGGGGTGGGGGGTTTTTCTGAGGAAAATCAGCTCAGCTTTTTGTATTTCCCAATGCAGCCGAGGTATTGACGTGCTCATTTTCCTCTCTTCATAGAAACATTTTTAAGTACCATCTGATTAAATTAACTTGGATTGGAGAAGCGTGGTATAGCAAAGGCTCTCCTTGAGGAGAAAATACAGCTTTAATAACTAGGGATCTAGCTTTATTGGCTAGTAAATTTGAGAATGTAACACTGAGCATGCCCAGGCTTTTTTTTTTTTTTTTTTTTTACTGAGCATCTCTTTGTACTTAAAGGCATCTGTTCTGTCGGTTTATGCACTGTTAACTAACTGCAAACCTCTTTAACAGCTCCTCTACATTGCTGGAAAATCCTGAGGCAGGACAAAGGCAAGAACGGCTGTCATGCCTGATGACTGATGTTGTAAATGGAGTGAGAAAGGCCCTTGAAGGGGAAGCCGTCAAAGCTGACCTAGTGGGAAAAGAGCGTAGGGACATGTTTCCTCTAGAAGCATGCCAAGAGAGCCAGGCTTCGATGCATATGCGGCTCTTTCCAGTTTTGGGAAGGTGCAAAGTGATGCACTGTGGAAGGAATGGCTCCAAAATCATTAATTACAGGCTGCCCTTCTGGTGCACCTTATGACCAAGTTACTGTTAAGAGTAAGGTTTTGCCAGGGCTCAAGCTCACTTTGTGCAGATTTCCAGTGTGGAGTAGATGCTTGGGAGGACTGTGAGCAAGAAAAGACTGTGAAATACATAGCTTACAGTGATTAAAAAACTATAAAAATACTTTTTAAGCATGATGAGGGGATAGTAGATTTCCCTGTCCTCTCCTGCTCTTACCCTGAATTCCAGTGAAGTGAGTGCACTGTAATTTTGAAATGGGAAACACTTCTGCCAGCTGTGAAGCAGAACGATGGGCTTTAATTAGATTAGAGTAACAAGAAAATGCAATTGAACAAGTAGGTTTTCAACAAAGAGAAAGAAACATCATGGTAGCTAAAGGGGGTAGGTGCTAGCTCGCTGGTACCATCTGAATCCATCCTGGTTCAGATGACTGAACTAGAGGATTTCTACAGGGAAAACATCACCAATCATAACAAAATGGGCTCATCTGCTGCATCTTCTTGAGTAACAGGATAACTTGATCCTATCTTCAGAGAGGAAAATCTGTTATCTCTGGTTGGCCTCACTTAATCTTTGCTTTTTGCCTCTTCAGGTTGAGGATGTTTGGGACCCGTCTGGTGGAAGCGGCCATGTCACGAGTAACTCCCGCACACGCCTCCTCAGGGAGCTTCCCTCTGCTGAGCCTTGTCCTGGTGCTGCTCCTCCATGCAGAGGGCACACGTGCGGAGAGCCCCAGTGAACTGCCCTCCAATGACACCGAGGAGTGTGCTGGCTCCTACATCTGTAAGAAGGGAGTGATTTTACCAATATGGGAACCCCAGGACCCCTCGTTTGGGGACAAAATTGCTCGGGCAACGGTGTATTTTGTAGCCATGGTGTACATGTTCCTGGGAGTGTCCATCATAGCCGACCGCTTCATGTCCTCCATCGAAGTCATTACGTCCCAAGAGCGGGAAATAACCATCAAGAAGCCCAACGGCGAGACCAGCAAAACCACCGTGAGGATCTGGAACGAGACTGTTTCCAACCTCACGCTGATGGCCTTGGGCTCGTCTGCTCCGGAGATCCTCCTGTCTGTCATCGAGGTGTGCGGCCATGGCTTCACGGCGGGGGACCTGGGGCCGAGCACGATCGTGGGGAGTGCTGCCTTCAACATGTTTGTCATCATTGCAATCTGTGTGTACGTGGTGCCAGATGGAGAGATAAGGAAGATCAAGCACTTGCGAGTGTTTTTTGTTACAGCGGCCTGGAGCATCTTTGCCTACACTTGGCTTTACATTATTTTATCTGTGTCTTCTCCTGGGATTGTGGAGGTTTGGGAAGGCTTGCTCACCTTCTTCTTCTTCCCCATCTGTGTGGTGTTTGCCTGGATAGCTGACAGGAGGCTTTTATTTTACAAGTACGTCTACAAGAAATACCGAGCTGGCAAGCAGAGAGGCATGATCATTGAGCATGAGGGTGACCGGCCCTCCTCCAAGGCCGACATTGAGATGGACGGAAAGGTTGCTAATTCTCACGTAGAGAACTTTTTGGATGGGACACTGGTGTTGGAGGTGGATGAGAAAGACCAGGATGACGAGGAAGCCAGGAGGGAAATGGCTCGGATCCTGAAGGAGCTGAAACAAAAGCACCCAGACAAGGAAATTGAGCAGCTCATAGAGTTGGCCAACTACCAGGTCCTGAGCCAGCAGCAGAAGAGCAGGGCCTTCTACCGCATCCAGGCCACCCGGCTCATGACCGGCGCTGGCAACATCCTGAAGAGACACGCCGCAGACCAGGCCCGCAAGGCCGTCAGCATGCACGAGGTCAACAGCGACGTGACCGAAAACGATCCCGTCAGCAAGCTCTACTTCGAGCAGGGCACCTACCAGTGCTTGGAGAACTGCGGCACCGTGGCCCTGACCATCGTCCGCCGGGGAGGAGACCTGACCAACACGGTGTACGTCGACTTCCGGACAGAGGACGGCACGGCCAATGCCGGCTCTGACTACGAGTTCACGGAGGGGACGGTGGTCTTCAAGCCTGGAGAGACCCAGAAGGAAATCCGCGTTGGCATCATCGACGACGACATATTTGAGGAGGATGAGAACTTCCTGGTCCATCTCAGCAACGTCCGTGTGAGCACCGAGGCCTCAGATGAGGGCGTTCTTGAGGCCAGCCGTGTCTCAACACTCGCCTGCTTGGGATCACCGTCTACTGCCACTGTCACCATTTTTGATGATGACCACGCCGGCATCTTCACCTTCGAGGAGCCAGTAACACACATCAGTGAAAGTGTAGGAACCATGGAAGTGAAAGTGTTGCGAACCTCTGGAGCACGAGGAAATGTAATTGTGCCCTACAAAACCATTGAAGGCACGGCCAAAGGTGGAGGAGAGGACTTTGAAGACACCTGCGGGGAGCTGGAGTTCCAGAATGATGAGATAGTGTAAGTCAAGGTTTTATTTGTTTCTTACAGTCCCTGTCTCTCCTGAAATAAAATGCACTTATCTCCCAGAGCTGCACTGGAGGTGTTTGGGTTCCAGTGCATTGCAATAAGCCATGAATGGCCTCAGGTGCTGTGGGGAGCCTGAAACACTGCTGTGTCCCTGCCTTGCCAGCAGACTGGAGAGTGATGCCTGGTCAGGGGCACTTCAGCCCTCCAGCAGCAGGGAGGTGGAGCTGACTGGGAGCTGTAGCCATGCACTGAGCAGATCTCTACAGCCTCTGCTGCAGCTTCTACAGCTCTGCAGTAGAGCAGAGAACAAACCCCACCCAGGCATGAGGGCCTGAACTGCAAAGGGCTTGAACTGAGTGTGTGAATTGTGGTACCTGCTTCCTGTTTCCTGTTGAGGCTCAGATCATCCAGTACTGGGTCACAGCTGTCCTACTGATGCTCTGCTCAGGGCTTTGCTGAAGGTTGCTTCACCTCTTCCTGTTCTAAAGGATGCAGGCCTGGGTCATTCTCCAATATGTGTCTTGAAAAAATGCTGTCATGCAGGGAAGCCTCATGGTTAGGATGTAACTGCAGCCACATTCAGCTGCTTGCAAATAAAAAAAGGAGGCTGAAAGCTGTTGGAGGCTGCTCTTGAGTATTGCTATTTGGATGGTGGGGAAATTATTAGTGCTGTAGCCTTATTACAATATGTGGAGAGCATAAATTTGCTCAATAAATCACAGTAGAAAACATCTATCCTTGGGTATGTCATGAAGACATTTCCTTGCCCAACTGGTGCTCTGGAAGGAGTAAGGGTTGGGAGCTGTGTTTTTCCAGTCTGAGGCTCTTCCTACAGTGAATTCTGTGTTTGCAGACAACAGGGACTAAGTTCTGTAGCACAAAAACACTGCCTAGAACTGAAAGAAGTAACTGGTAAAGGGCACTGCTGTGTAAAGGGAGAGCGAAATTTTGGCTTGGGTGTTATTTATTGTGCTGCTGGTCTCCCAGGAGCTGAAACAAACCATGGTGTGTGCCCAGAGTAGTCCTTGTGTTCTGTCTGTCACCTGTGTCTGCTGTGTCTGCAGAGGGAGAATGAAACTTCTTCATAAAACTTCTTGAAGTAGATGGCAGGGGGAAAAAGGTGATTTGTAGTTCTCAGGCAGGATTTATACCAGTTGGGATTTTGACTTCCCAGGAAAAACTGAGCAAAAAGTTCACAGCTCTACAACGTTGTAGCTCTGGAGGCTACAACAGACATGCTGCTCACACAAGGGTCGAGAGCACATGGCTCCTGACTCCTGAATGCTAAATGTAGTAGAGAGGAATGCATTTATTTGAATTTTTTTATCATTTTGGGAGAAGCAGGGAGTTGTCTGCAAAGATCCAATGAACTAGACTATAAGGATATCTCCCAAAGGCTCTTTGCTTTTTATCCAGGTCACTCAGCAGTACCAAAACTGGGCTAGTGGCAGTTAGCCTTTGCCATTTGTTCCCAGCTCCCATGGGATGTGACATGTTTACATGGCAGGCCAAACACACGGCCACAGGCTCTGTAACAGTGCTCAGAGAGGCTTGGAATATGCCTTGCCTTGGATCCAGCACTGTGGCCAGGATCTCTGTGCTGTCCTTCATCCAAGACCTGTGTCTGTGCTGCCCCTTGGTGCTTGGGCTGTGATGAGGCAAGGTGTTCTCCCCAGCACTGCTGTGCCTGGTGTGGCCTTCCCTCCTCTGAGCTGTTCACCTCTGACTTTTGCCGACAGCCCAGTAACCAAGGGGTGTGCTGGAAGCCAGCTGACCACATCCTGTGGGATCTGTGCTGGTGTGCCCTCACCAGGGCTGCAAGCCTCCTCCTTCCTCTTCTTACCAGCTGCCAGAATGTGCACAGCCAGCAAGAAGCAGGGGAAAGGAGTTTTCTCAGAAACCCAAGCCTGCCATTGTATCTCTACTGTCTTTAAACTGTCCCTCCCAGGAATCACAGTGAGTGATGGCACCTCAGAAGTGTAAGGAGGTGGTGACTGCAGGGACAGATGTTGACCAAGGGGCTCTCTCCATTCAGGTGGGAGAGGACACTGGCAGAATGAAACCTATGGTACATATTCCAATCTATCCATGGGCTCAAAGGCAGTATTAATCTAAGGCTCAGCTATTAATCTAAAACTCAGCTGCCACAGTCCATGCTCAGGTGTGGGTGGTACACGAGTACCAGGTGCCTGGACACGAGTTTTGGACAACACAGAGGCAGAGGGTTCCTGATGCTGAGCTGCTGCTTACAGGCATGCTCCCCTGGAAGAATTTGCTCCAATAAATATATACTAGCACAATATGTGGATTATGGAGCTAAAGACTTTTTGCTCTGTCATTGCTTGATAGTGCTGTACTTCAGTTAAGCCACGATTATATGGAATGGTGCAATTCCCTAGCATACTGGATTCAATAAAGTTCTAAAATTCTGGGTTTTCTCATGCTCTGATGGCCAAGAGATGTCTTTGCTGCCCTTTCTAAAGGTCTTTAGTGCCTCTTCAGTTCTGCCATTCAAGTCTGAATGAATCAGCTTGATAAAAGTGAGTAAGATGTGTTTTTCTGGGGCAGTAATAACAAAGGTAGGGCAGTACAGGGAGACATGAAGATGAAAGAAAAGCATGCACAAGCCTCTGTTAGTAGAGGGCTGGCTTGCTGGTAAGTCCCAGTAAAATTAGAAAGCGCTGGGAGGGCCCTGATCTTCTGGAGACCTTCCTCTGGTTCCCAAAAGGCCTAATTATGTAACATGTTGTTTGTTTGCAGTGTCCAGAGAGACTTTCGCATTTTGCAATCTGTTGATGTCCCCCCTTCCCAGAATACACAAAATAGCAGTTTAACTGCTGAAGCCATGCTGCTCCTGTGCATTTAATCAAACATCTCATTCTGATGCTACCAAAAAAAGATGTGTAGTGGAGAAGATGTTGGTCCTCCTGTGGAACATTCAACCCAGCACTGCCTCTTGGAGTGGTGCTTTTCTGCTCCTTGTTCCTGGAGCACAGCTTGTGTGTTCAATGGATGCATGTTAGGTGAAATAAACAGCTTTTAGATGGGGTTTGCATGGCACATTGCTCCAAGCTTCTTGGGAAAAGGTGTCTGGCTGGGGTCTGAGCAAGGTCACTCTCAGTGATGCTGCACAGGTACCTGGGGCTCTGAGATATCAGTGTGGGTGCTGTGATTTAAAGTGTAAGAGAGCCTTTCCTCTGAGCCCAGCCTCAACAAGGTGGCTCCAGCCTTGTCTTGCACCTCCATTAATGATTGAAGCTTTCTGCAGGAGAACATGGGGAAGATGTGCACTTGTAGCCCTTCCTGCCCCCCCAGCTACTACAGCTATTGTGATCATAGAAGAGGTCACTGGTTCATCCAGGCAGTGTATTTTTATCTGCTGACTGAATGCTAAATAATTCAAAAGAAGTCCAGCTTCCCATATTAGAGAAGGAAGCAAGCTTTCCCTCAGCTGATATCCCATCAGCTCTTCTCCTTTCTGTCTCAGCATCAGGAGGAGCACTTCTTCCAGATGTGACTGCAAAGCCCTTTGAAAACAGCGTGTTCTTTCATGTTCAAAAAACACCATTTTTCTAGGGATAACATTGTAACTAGAGATCTGTTACAATCTGCACTCCAGATGTCTGCACACACACCCCAAAAGAAAAGATTTTACTGCATTAATGTCAGTGAAGAAGATGGTACATATGGACAACAAATTAAACTCATATTTCACCTATGCAGTCACACCTGTAAATGCCTGGAAAATCTTATGTCAAATGGTCTTGCTGTTCATAATATGCAGTTTAGTTGTTTTCATAAAACATGTCTGCTGCAGATTTAGGAAATGACACTCTTTGCCCACTGAATTTTACTTGTCCAAGTCAGTTTTGGCATTTCTCTGGAAGCATAAATTTAGGAGCTGAATACTAAAAGAGACACAAACCATCAGTTACATTCTCTGATTTTTTTTTGGGAAAGTGTCCTCAGAAACCACATAGGCTCCTTCCCAAGAGCCCTTTAAAAATGTCAGTGTCAATAAATAGAGATGGTGGCAGGAGGGGAACCAAGTGGTACTGCTTTTTTAAGTGCCCCTTTTCTTTTCTTCTCCAAAAAGAAGTTGGGTCAGGAATTTCTAAAGAAACAGCAAAAATAATATCCTGACTCAGCCCTGGAACCCCTCTATATCAGTTTTTCATCTGTGGCTTGCAGCTTCAGAGGAAAAATTAAAGCCTCCAGCATGAGCAGCCCTGCAGTAGGATGCAGTTGAAGAGCAGGATGTCTTCTGATGTGGTAGAGAGAATGCTGTGAACCAGGCTGGAAGGGAAGCAAAGAAACATTCCCTTTTTCAGGTTTCACTGTTGAGCACATTCTCTTCCTCTTTGTGGTCCCACTCTTCCTCTGGGCCAATGTGCATCCCCTGACTCCACAGGCCCAGCTTGCACAGGGTTAATGTCTGGCAGCACACTGTGAGATATCAAAGGAGACCAAACAAAGATTAAACTCTTGCTTGGCCTGCTTCCAGGGCCCAGCATGGGCTTTGCAGAGTATTCTCCCCTCACCACTGGAAGTCTTGCCTGGCCCAGTGGGATTTGCAGGCAGTACAGACATGGCCAGCTGGATCTAGGGCTTGGATCCTTGGTCCAGTGGGATTTGCAGGCAGTACAGATATGGCCAGCTTGGATCCTTGGCAGAAGCACCCAGTTTTCCTTGCCCATCCAGTACGGATCCCTCTTGGCGAGCTGGCCCCAGCCGAGGCCCACAGCAGGGGTGTTGCACCACGCTGGGACATGGATGGGGCCTGCTTCCCTTTTGAGGAGGAGAAGTTCTCTGGGCCTGAAATGCATAATTTCTTTGGTTCCTGAAGGCCAAAAGCTGGTTGTTGCCTCTTCAGAGGGGAAGATACAGCTCTAACAGGGTCAACTGTCTTTTCTTTTTCTCCTCTTCGTTCAAACAATGTTTAGTCTTTCCTGAAGACTCTTAAAATATTGGTCTTAATATCTCCCAGGCAT